ACGTAGCAGTTAGCGCTTCAGAGCTTGGTCTGCCAGACCCTGGTTCTTGCTGTGGAAGCTAAGTGAGTAATTTTGGACCAGTCACAGACTTTCAGCCTAACCTACCTCACAGGGTTGCCGTGCAGATCAAAAGGGGAAGAGGAGAATGATGTGAGCTGCTTTGGTCCCTACTGCGGAGAAAGACTGTGCTCTTCCTAGGTACAGACTGCAGGGAGAGGGAAGGAGATTGAAAGCTGAAGTCAGAGGGGCAGATCAAGGCCGGTTGATGGTTGGCTGGGAAGGAGATAGGGTTGCCAACTCCAGGTTGGTAAATTCCTAGAGATTTGAGGGGTAGAGCCTGGAGAAGGTGGGGTTTCAGGAGGGGTAGGACAAGAGACAGGTACAATGCCATAGACTCCACCCTCCAAACCAACCATTTTCTTCTGGGAACCATTGTTGCCAATCTCCAGGGGAGGGCTGGATATCACTCAGAATTACAACTGTTCTTCAGGTGGCAGAGATCAGTCCCCCTGGAGAAAATGGTGGTAGTATCTAATTCATTATACCCTGCTGAGGTCGCCACAGCAAATTGATGCTGAATGCCCAAGGCTGGGGCACATGCCAAGAGCCTCTTTCTAGAGTCTGTTGTATTTATTTCCATAATGGGCTTTATTCCTAATAACAACAATAACAATAATAGACCCCTCCAAAGAAGCCACCAATGCAGAAGCTCCTGGGAGTCATCTTCAACCCCAATAAGCAGGGACTGTGGACTATTCCCTCTCAAGAGGGTGCACATGCTCCCATCTTCACCCAGCATTGTGTAGTAGTAGTAATTCCAGGATAAGAAGTCCCAAACAATCATCACTTGCTGGTGTCACATACATTCAAAATTTTTATTGCAGTGTGCAATCTTTATTGTATGCATTAACTATGCATTGAAAGCAGGGGAGATGGAATCTTCCATTTTAATCCAAACCATTATTTTATTTAGTACATTATCCCACTCTTTCTCTAAAAAGCACAGTGTGGTGTACATCATTCCCTATCCTCCATTTTATCTGCACAAACACCCTATGATGTAGGTTAGATCCTCATTCAAGGTCACCCAGTGAGTTTCACAGAAAACAGAGACTTGAACCTGGGTCATTTTATACCCAACCCCAACACAACACTGCCACTGGCAAAGAACAGTGGGTTACGTAGTATCTAATTCAGCCGGAGGCAGATGTCCAACTAATTCCGCACAGAACTTCAGTCTTTTGTATCCATCTAAAAAAATCCTTATCTTTAAAACAGCAAATAACATGCTCAAAAAAAACCCCTCCCAGTACCCACCTTTCTTTCGAGTCAATCCACTTACTCTCACATGACCACTATACTCTCAATTTAAAATGAGCTTAATTTCAACTATATGTGCTTCTTTCCATCTGCACATTTGTTGGCATTTATTACTGCACAGAGATCTGAGCATGCACTAGCAGCAGCTGCCAGCAAAATCACGTGTGTCCAAGATCAGGAGCCCAAGTGTATGGACGGTTTTTGAAGCTGCACACTTGGCAGCATTCATCACCCCATTAAGGAGCCAAGTAGGGGCCACTGTCAGCACATGCTGAGAATTGTGAAGCAACATACTATGTCACATGACATTCACAGATTATTGCACAGTTATTTAAGTAATAGTATGACTTCCCTAACATACAAACCACAGTTCCCATGTGGCAAGGCAAGAACGCAACAAAATATTTACAATCCAATTCAGAACCCTGAGGACAAAGTAGGTGCTTCTTTTTCATTCTGTTCTCTGTTTACAATCTCAGCAGAGGAAAGCTCACGTCACTCATTTTCTCTCCCACAATGCAAGCCAAGCCCCCACCTCCCACACATTTTCAGCATTCAATCAACATTCAACCATTCAAATGATGGTCCCAGTCATGTCCTGCTCCTTCCCCACTTTCAGCCTTCTGGTGGGACCTGGGGAGGCCCTGGAATTACACCTCATCTCTAGACTACAGAGATCAGCTCCCCAGGAGAAAATGGATGTTTTGGGGAGTGGACCTTATGACATTATATCTCACTGAAGTCCCTGTCCTCCCCAGGTTCCATCCTCAAATCTCCAAGAGTTTCCCAGCCTGGATCTGGCAAAAAAACCCCCAACCATCCCTGGTCAATAGCCTGGAGACCTGGAAACCCTACTTCATACCATGATTCCAAACCAGAATTAAAACATGGTTCAGAGGCATCATTTATGGTTCAGGTACAGTGACAAACTCTAGCCTGCCACAAAAGCAATTATTTCCAAACCACACGCATGGGGAGGAGGCATAGGAAAGAAGCATGCAGGCCAAAGGATTTCCAAGGCATATTTCCTTTAACCACCAATCATGGTCTGTCGTGATACATGAGTTATGCCAGTGGGTCAGTACCGCTCAGACATTTTAAGGCAATAACATGCACAGTCTATTTTCAGCTTCTTTGATTAGGAGTAGGGAAAACTGCATCCTACGGTCTTACAGAAATTGACCTGTACCCAAGGGCTCAAGTCACCAAGTGCTCTGATTACAGCAGATGCAGATCCTCTGCTTTTCAAAGAAAGGAGATATCAGGGCACAAGCCTGCTCTGAGACCAGCTCATCGACTGTTACTGAACCCTAATGTGTCCAGTGGTGACCAGGAAGCAGTCCACACACACCGAGGAACACTTTCAAAATTACTCCCCATGTGGGAAAAGCAGGCCATGTGAGGCAGTACTCTGCAGAAGAGCCGATGCAAGGTCAAAAGAACATCTGCCGCCTGTCACATTTCTGACACTGGCCCACACTCACAGGCCCGATTGAGAAGGAAAGTAAACCAATTTATGTCAAGTGATCTAGTTCAAAACAAAGGAGCAACGGTATTTGCATGCAGCACTTTCTCCACAGTGTTCTGCAGTAAACCTGCAGGCCTCTTTTGTGGAACAGTGGCCTGCAAAGCTTAACAGCCACCAAAGAAGGTATTTCCCCCCCCCTCCTTTGCACCCTCTCTTATGGCCTGTAGACATCCAACCCTCTCCTCTTACAGAGCCAATGCAGACAGTCGCCTTTAAGGAAAGCCCACCCTGGACTCTTGCCAGACTTGGGAACACCTGTCAGTTGAGGAAACTGTCAGTGGGGGAGGGGGGGCGAATCGGAGGCGGGCTGCCAGGCCCAGAACCCCTCCTCCAGCCCTCGCTCTCTCCAGCAGGCTCCACCACAGAGACCTCCACGGGAGCCAATATCGGCACTCTGAAGAATCAACCCTGTAATCTATGACGTTTATATCAGCGTTTCCTTCCTTCCCTCCATCAGAGAACGGAAGGGGGCGTCTGGAGGACCGCCCGAAAGGTCTCCCCCATCCAGGGCAACTGACCAGCCCTCCATCGGTTTCGCCTCGAGCCCGCTCGCTCCCGCCAGGCGCCTCCCAGAAGTCCCCGTTAAACCCAAGCCGACGGGCGGCGCTTCCTAACACCGCCGCTTCTGTCGCCGTTTGCAGACGGCCTGGCCCGAGCGGGGGG